CCACTGTCCCCACCACCCCCACCGTGTCCCAACTGTCCCCAACCATCTCCATTGTCCCCATCTCCATGATGTCCAACTGTCCCCACCATCCCAACTGTCCCCAACCATCTCCACCATGTCCATCTCCATGATGTCCAACTGTCCCCACCATCCCAACTGTCCCCAACCATCTCCACCATGTCCATCTCCATGATGTCCAACTGTCCCCACCATCCCAACTGTCCCCAACCATCTCCACCATGTCCATCTCCATGATGTCCAACTGTCCCCACCATCCCCACCATGTCCATCCTCAATCATCCTCATTGGTGCCCAACTGTCCCCAACCATCTCCACTCTGTCCCACTGTCCCCAACCATCCCAACCCATCCCCACCATGTCCACCATCAACCATCCCAACTGTCCCCAACCATCTTCACTGTGCCCATTCTCATTGATGTCCAACTGTCCCCAACCACCTCCATTGTGCCCATCTCCATGATGTCCAATTGTCCCCAACCATCCCCACCGTGTCCCACCTCAACCATCCTCATTGATGTCCAACTGTCCCCAACCATCTCCACATGCCCATCTCCATGATGTCCAACTGTCCCCAACCATCTCCATTGTGCCCATCCCCATGATCTCCACCTGCCCCCACCATCCCAACTGTCCCCAACCATCTCCACTGTGTCCAACCTCAACCATCCTCATTGATGTCCAACTGTCCCCAACCATCTCCACATGCCCATCTCCATGATGTCCAACTGTCCCCACCATCCCAACTGTCCCCAACCATCTCCACTGTGCCCATCTCCATGGTGTCCAATTGTCCCCACCCATCTCCACTGTGCCCACCTCCATGGTGTCCAATTGTCCCCACCCATCATCCCAACTGTCCCCAACCATCTCCACTGTGCCCCCCACCATCCCAACTGTCCCCAACCATCTCCACTGTGCCTGCCCACCTCCATGGTGTCCAATTGTCCCCACCCATCCCTACAGCACCTGGCTGCTGAAGATCAACCCAACCTTGACCACCACCCTCCATAACCATCTCCCAGCCTCACGAGGTGAACCAAGACCATGGGGTTGGAGTTTCCCACCCATCCCAAGGACCATCCTGGGGGGTGGGAGGAGGACACCACACTGTGGCACTTATTGCATCATCCAGGAACTCCAAAATCTGCTGAAACAGCAAAAAAACCTTGCCCAAGAAACCACCAAAAAGGAGAAGCAAAGGCTGGAGATCTTGCTCAAGGCTTGGAGGAGCTTCAATATTTATTGGCGTGGGTGGACACAGCCATGGTGAAGCCAGGGAGATGTTGAAGGACAGTCAGTCCCCCAGCAATGGGGTGAACTTGAGGGGGTTTTGGGGTGATGGAGGGGGGAGTTGAGCTTCACCCACATCTTGGACCTCACTGGGTGGTGGAGATGTGGGGCTGGGTGGGGTTCATGGGGCAGCTGGGAGAGGGAAGGAGATGGAAATAAGGTCCACTCTTGAGCTGGAGAAGCAGGAGAACGTAGTATTGCGTGGAAGGACAAAGTCCTCTCATCGCTGGTGGGCCACTGAAGAAGCCAGGAGAAGGTCCCCAGGGGTAGGAGGGCACACAACTTCCCTAGGCTCCAAGCTCGTGGGGCAGCTGGTGGGGAAAGGGAGCAATGGAGGCATCTTCTCTCTACGAGACCCAGCAGGACCTCCAGGAGAAAAGGAGAAGGTCATGGTGGTGGTGGTGGTCTCAAGCAATGTTCCAGCCTGGGAGCCACCTCCCTCCTGGTCACACTGTGGTACTGACACTCTGGTCATCCATAGTGGACTTGGTCTTCATCCTGCTGTCCCCGATGGTGCTGGTTGGGTCATCGCTCAGCACACCCCTCAACACGGCTCTCCAAGAACGTTGGAACTTGTCCTTGAAGTCCTGACCCATGACGACGTAGATGATGGGGTTGATGCAACTGTTGATGTAGGCAATGCCGGCCACGATGGGGTCAGCTTGCAGAGCACCTTTGAACAAGCTGCTGTGAGGATGAGTAGAAGCCAAGATCAACCCTACGACGTGGTAGGGCAGCCAACACACGAAGAAGCTGATGATGACCACCAAGATGAGCTTGATGGCTTTCTGAGAGCGGGCAAAGCCCTTGCTGTGGATACGGGTCAGCAGAAGACTGTAGCAAGCTGTGATGACCACGAAGGGCACCAAGAAGCCACAGACAAAGCGGGTGACGGCCGTGATGAGCTCGGTGAGGTGTTGGTGACGTCCCACAGCCACGTAGTCCAAGACACAAGTGACCTTCTCGGAGAAGTCATCGTAACGGGTGGTGCGGAAGATGAAGGAGGGAAGGGTGAGGAGCCCGGCCAGGAACCAGGCGGCTGCACAAGCTCCTCGGGCCAACCCCAAAGTCCGATGGTTTTGACACCACACCGGCCGGGTGACCATGGCACAACGGTCAGCGCTGATGGCCATCAAGAGGAGGACACTGGCGAACATGTTGAGGATGGTGAGGGAAGGCAACAGCTTACAGGCAAAACCACCCAAGGGCCAGTGGTGGTCACGGGCCAGCGGTAGGGCCAGAAAGGGTAGGGCCAGGCAACAGAGGAGGTCGGCCATGGAGAGGTTGAGGAACCAAACGCCGTTGACCGTCCGTCGAAGCTCAAAGCCGGTCACCCAGATGACGGCTCCGTTACCCAAGATGCCCAAGAGGAAGATGAGGGCGTAGAGCGCCAGGACGGCGCGGTAGCGGTGAGGGACCTCATAGCCATCGAAATCATACATGGCATAGTCATCCCAACTGGAGTAATTCAAGGTGTAATTGGGCACGGAGAAGTCCATCCTCCACCAGCTCCTAACCTAGAAACCACACTCTGTTAGACCATCATGGAATGGTTTGGGTTGGAAGGGACCTTCCAAGATCATCTAATCCAACCCCCCGTGCTATGGGCAAGGACATCATCTACTACATCAGGTTGCTCAAAGTCTCACACAGTGGTTGGAAGTGACCGTCCAAGATGATCTAGTCCAACCTCCTACCATGGGCAAGGACATCTTCCACTAGATCAGGTTGCTCAAAGCCCCGTCCATGGCATCACACAAAGGTTTGGGTTGAAGGGACCTTCAAAGATCATCTAATCCAACCCTGTGCCATGGTCAAGGACATCATCTACTAGATCAGGTTGCTCAAAGTCTCACAGAATGGTTTGGGTTGAAGGGACCTTCAAAGATCATCTAAGTCCAACCCCCGTGCCATGGGCAAGGACATCTTCTACTAGATCAAGTTGCTCCAAGCCCTGTCCACAGAGTCATGGAAAGCTCTGGATTGGAAGGAACCTTCAAAGACCATCCAGGACATCTTCCACTAGATCAGGTTGCTTAAAGCCTCATCTAACCTGACCTTAAAGATGTAGCATCTACAACTTCTCAGGGCAACGTGTTCCACCATCTCACCACCCTCACCATAAAACATCTCCTCACTATGTCCACCATCATCATCTCTCCCTCCATCCACCATCCACCTCCATCTCTCCTCATGGAAAAAGAGGCAGCACCTCCAAGACCACCCCAGTGAGATGCTCCTCAACGAGAACGTGTGGTGCAAGCACCTCAAACCTCTTGGCTTCATGCTCCCCCCCACCTTGTCCTGGTCACCAAGGAAGTGGACATTTCCCCACTTCCTCACCGAGCTGCCCCTCGACTACGTGGCGCAAGAAGTTGGATGAGGAAATGCCAGGAGAGTTGCAGCTTCAGCAGCTTCTCCAACATCTACTGAGTGGGTGTCACTGGGGGTGATTTTTGGTTTGGTTCTCAAGGTCAAGAGAAACCTCTTGGTGCCCAAATCATCAAGATAAGGGGGGAAGGGGGGGG